GGGGGGGAGGTTGTTGTCCGGAAAAAAAATTTTCCGGGAAAATTTTTTTAGATAGGGGCCCCTAAAAAAAAATTTGCCCCGGGCCCCCGCCAACCTCTGGGCGGCCCTGCTATGGGTACTAGACACCACTAGGTTGGGTGTACCAGAGCAAAATATAATTCCGAAAACTTGATCTGACATTGTGTCAGACCAACCCATGTTTTGATCGGACATGATCGGACACTTAATTATTCTCAAGAGGGACGTTGTCAGTTGTTACAGTACTACGCATAAACCAAAACCGTAACAACTACCAAAAATCCAAAACCATATGAATAGACAATCACCTTCTCTGATTGTCTAGCAGACGGAATCTTTGTTTAAAACTGTCGTAGGCAGTACCAATGTGAAAATGCTGTGCCTCCTTAAAACTGTCTGTACCAGTGTAGGCAGTACCAATGTGAAAATGCTGTGCTGAGTGGTTATATTACTACCTTAGAAAACAAGCCGAAACTTGACGTTTCGAGCGAAGGCCCTTCGTAGATTTTGTTAAAAAGATTTGCAACGATAAAGGAAGAAATATTCAAATTAAGGAGACAGAACGGTCGGCAATAATGTTCCTTGCAGAGTAATCAGTAGAAGACCATATCAGCATTTTGTTCGGCTAATGGCCGGTGACCGACCGTTATATTGACCTCATAAAAAATAAGGCGAATAGCTAATAATTGTCATTGTAAATACAGTAGAACTTTTTTTATTTATTTATTTATTGTAAAATTGTATCTCAACATGCAGGACCTGTGAAAAACAACCCGTTTGATCAGGCTATCGTGCCTAATTGAATTGAAATCTTAAATGCTAGTTAAGACCCTGAGCCAGAGGTGCCCTTAGTAACCTTCGACTCGATTTGGTTGAGCTGCGTCCTTCATAATTCAGCCCATGCATGCAGCTCCCAGCTGCAAGAAAGGATGATTTGCACACCTCACTTAATTACAGTACGTACTAATTTTAAATGGTTATGATTGTTTCAAAGATTACGAGAAGAAGAAAAGAGCACATTAATAGACAAGCACACACCTGAAGAAACGAAAGACAGATTAAGTTTTGAAGAACGTCGCAGGCAACACAGACAACAGTGGAGTATGGATCAATATCCTCCCATACGATCTTCACGAAAAGTGGTAAGTAATCACTTATAAATTATTTTTAGAGATTTTTAGAGATTAGATTTATCTTCTATAGTTTTGCCTTAACGTGCTTATGCAACGAAAGTTCGCACATATTACAAACATATGTTGTATGTCAACAAATTTGAACCAGTTATCTATATGAAAGTTTTTTTAGGCAATCAGGCGTCTTCGTCCCAGATAAACGCAGCGTTTTTATACTACTTAAAATATAAAACAACTGTAGAACTCCGAAAAGAAACGTTTTAATATTCTAGCTTTCGACTAAGATTCAGTCATCATCAGGAATGATGCCAGGTTACATACATCGATATATATATATAGTGAAGATTGAGTAATTTGATATGTACATAAAAGATTAGTTAAATATTATAAGTTCTTTTGATCACTTGCCATTAGACGCCTTGAACCTGAACTTAATCATGGAACAAAGGCATCAAAATAACTTATAATATTTAACTAATCTTTTCTGTACAATTTGTCTATATCAAATTACTTATGATGTTCACTATATATATATCGATGTAATGTAACCTAGCATCATTCCAGATGATGACCGAATCTTAGTCGAAAGCTAAAATATTAAAATGTTTATTTTCGGAGTTACCGTTGTTTTATATTTTATTAAAATAGTCAGTTGTTCCCGTAATTTTTATACTACTTAGATTAATATGTGTTTCATAGGAAGATAAAAGTCGGCAAAGTCATGACAGCGACCACAACATACCAGCTCCGTCATCATCAGATAATAGTCAAGGTAAATTGTACTAAACTTTGGTAAGGGTCTTGACAGAACAAGTTGTTACAGGTTTTTCGTGGCTGGAAAACTATTTCGTACTGTACATAACATATTTCATAACTAACTAGGAGCATAACCAGATAAGGTTTAGGGTAAGATTTAGAATTGTTATAAGTACACAGTTGTCGATTCTTTCGCGTTTTAACGATCTTGAAAAATAGCTGGCATCTTGAAAACCTTCCTCTCCTCCATCAAACAACCTAATAAATATGCTCGAACTTAATTTACCTCTAGGTTCCAGTGGTCTGATAAGAAGAAATATATATGGAGACCCTATTGAATAAAGCACGCTAAACGTTTACACGAGTTGAGAACATCTGGGACGAAACCTTCGGCGAAACGGTAAAACCTTGCTTGTCGTAAAAGAGACGAGTGTCAACGTCATTATTTAGCTCAGTTAATTTTTGGCTATACTGACCGCCTTGGCAATAGAAGTGACATTGCAAGTATTTATATAAGGAAGATATTCATGTTCAGTGGCGTAGGAAACCCAATAGTAAAAGTGGTGGGCCTAGTTCCGCCCCCAATATCTCGGAAGAAAATTGAAACAATCACAAGGGTGTAAAGCTATGTTGTGTCACTGCATGCATGTTTGTGAACTCGATTTTTTATTAAACGCCCCAGAAACCATTTACATCATATAAAAAACTCGATTCACATGTGAAGATTGAGATAATCTGCAGTAACTTGCTTTTGACAATTTGTGACAGCAATCTAAACTTGATCTCGTTTAGGTTATATCGCTCCTTCACCTCTTATTTATGCCCTCTTTCCCAAAGAGTTTGTTCGTTCCCACAACTCATGGCTTTTCACCTATTCACTTACTTGGACCCGTATATACATGCGCCATGCAAATACATGTGGCATGCAAATACATTTTCCTGAAAAACTGACCTGCCAGTTTTTATGGGGCAAAGAAGAATTGTCAATTTTGAATGCTTCTTTGTGTGTATGACTCGTCACAGAAATATGGCATATACAACTTATAGCAGCCTCTGTGCGTTTTACCACTGAATCAGATATATATTTATATATGTATCATCCTCACAAGCAAATGTTTTTGTCATAGAAAAATGTCGAACAAAATTTGCTCGTGTTAACAGTGGTGCCTAAATTACATTGAATTTATACTCGAGTAAAAGTAGAAGTAATTGACAATAAAACGACTTGAGTAAGAGTAAAAAGTATCAGAGGCAGAACGTACTTAAGTAAAAAGTACAAAGTATTCTTAAAAAATACTTGAAGTACAAAGTAAAAGTACTATTGTCTGTAGCGTGTGGGGGGGGGGGGGAATTTC